TTTGTTCTTGAAAATTTTGAAATCCTGGGGGATTTTTTGAGGGGACACCTTGTCCCTGCAGACCCCAGGAATGACATTTGGCCAGCACTGCCACTCCAGGCACGGAGCTCTTGCTCCTTTTTCAGTAATGAATCCTYGGTTGTTCCGTGCAGCCCTCCAAGGGACTCTGGGATATATAAACAACCATTTGTGGATCACTTTGTTTTCACTGCCTTTGTCTGGAGGTGGGGATGGGGCAGCCCTGCTGAAGCTGAGTTTTAAATGCATTTTAAGGACAGARGTAGGGAAAAAYGGGCGTTTTTCCTGCAGGARTATCCTCTCCTGGCACTGAGGGATGAGCGATGCTCTGGGTTGGGTGGTGGAAAAGGAGCTTTTTCCCCAAATTCTCCCATCCTTAACTCAGGGTTTTGGAAATACCCCTTTGCTCCTTGCCTGGCAAATAAAACTGGGTTAATTTGGTGGCCGATGGAGTCTCACCCTGGAGTCCAGCAAAGATCTCCCTTTAATTTTCCTTTTAATTTCCTTTCAATTTTCCCTTRGGCCCGCCTGACCTTTTAATCCATTTCCCACCTCAAACTTCACTCATTTTCGTGTCCTTCTGTTTGTGGATTGGCCCTGGGCACAGTGTCCTGTTAGGAGAGCAGGAATTGCCTTTTCCTGGGAATGACTTTGGTGGAATTRTAAACCCCAGAGCTGCAGATTTCACTGTTTGAACAAGGCTGGGTGCAACACTCAGGTTTGTGTGCAGAGGGAAGGTGGCACAGAGGTCACAGGGTTTMATTCTTGGACTGTTGGGAGTGTTTAATTCATCATTTTCATTGATCAGGAGGGAGCTGGCACTGAGGGTGAATTTAACCCTTGGGCATTCCAGGATTATCCATGGAATTGCTGTGACAGGAAAAGGAGCGACGGGTTTGGGCTGAAAGAGGGGAAATTTGGGTTGGATATTCAGAAATTTGGGTTGGATATTCAGAAATTTTGATTGGATATTCAGAAGGAATTGTTCACTGTGAGGGTGGAAAGGGGCTGGGATGGAATTCCCAGAAATTCCCAGAGGAACTGTGGCTGCTCCATCCCTGGGAGTGACCCAGGCCAGTTTGGATCACCCTGGGATTATAGAAGCTGTCCCTGCCTGGGACTGGATAAGTTTTAAGATCTTTCCATCCCAAACCATTTCACAATTCTGTGATTATTTTGGGAGATAAGGAGTCACCTCCCATTTTTCAGATAGGAGCAGGATCTGGGTGACTCTCCACCCTTTTCCATGCCCTGGGGGCACAGAATTCCAGTTCAGTTTGCTCTGAGAGCTGTTCCTGCTGTCAGAGAGCCCAGCCTGGCTGCAGGAGCATCCTTTTCCTCCTGTCTGAGAGATCAGAGCATTAATTAGGATAAAATTGGGATTTTTACAAAGGTGGGGTGGCTGAAGGCCTGGCAAAACTGAGGAGGAGCCGCTTCTGGTGGGAGTGGAGCCGTGCAAAGCCAAGGAGGGAATTTACATCAAAGTTTCTGGCTGCTCACATCAGCAGAGCCTCAGAATTGATCTTGCACAACTTTGTTMTCTGGAGCCATCAGGAAAAAGCAAATTCAGGAGTTTCCTGTGGGTTTTGGGATGATGGGATGGGCAGTGCTGCTCCTGGGGTCACATTCTGTGTTTGCCAAACTCTCCAGTCCCAGTCCTGGGGGTTTTCACTTCTTTAGGGTGGCTCTGGAGGTGCTTGGAATCCTGGAATGATAGGGAATGTGGACATGAATGGTTCCTGTTGCTCTGTTCTCTTCCTTATAAATCATTTGACCTCCAGGGMTTCCCCTTGGAGCAGGATGGCCAATACCAGGACAACCACAGGGTTTTTACAAATCATTTTTCAGCCTCTCAATGCCAAGAAATCCCAAAATCCCCCTCAGTCCAACCCCTGGACCCCCATTCCCACATTCCCTTTTGCCTTCACTCATTCCAGCTRCCCTGTTTGTGTCAGCCCCACATTTTCCCTCATTTCCTCCAGCAGCATTCCCAACCTTCCACTGATCCAGAGTGAAAAATCCCACAAAATGATATTTCCATCCATACCCAGAGGGGTTTTTTTTTTTCCTTTTTGGACCAGAGCTGAGCTGTGAATTCAGCCCAAGCCCTGCTCCAGCTCGTGTTGGTTTTAAACAGGTCTGTTTGAACCTTTTTTAATTGGCAGCTCGGTTGGGAAAGCTCTGGAGTGTTCTGGGCATGTGAGCACAACTTGCAAAGGGATCGATGAAAGCRGGGCCACCTTACTGCAGGCACCAGTTCCTCTTTCATTAGAGCCACTCCTGCAGTTCCTGTGATTTGAAAATTGATGTTCAGCTCTAAAGAATCTCTTGTGCCATCCCTCTYGGGGTTTGCAGGGTAAATTGCTGCTGGATTTGCATTTAAAAGGGAGCGGTGGCTCCGCTGTTCTCGCTGGGTTATTTGGCCAGTTCAGTCCTGGTAAATTCAATATTTTGGATTATCACAGGATCGTTTAGGTAGGAAAAGTGCTCCATGATCACCGAGTCCAACCTGTGATTGATCCCCACTTTGTCCCCAGCGCAGAGCACTCAGTGCCACTTCCAGGAATTCCCTGGACACCTCCAGGGATGGGCACTCCAAACCTCCCTGGGCAGGAATAAATTCCTGTATTTAACAACCCTTTCCATGGGGAGATTCCTGCTGATGTCCCGGCCCAGCCTGAGGCCGTTCCCTCTCCTCCTGTCCCTGTTCCCTGGGATCAGATCCCAAATCCCCCCCGGCTGTCCCCTCCTGTCAGGGAGTTGTGCAGAGCCCCAAATCCCCCCTGATTCACCTTTTCTCCAGGCTGAACCCCTCACCTCCTTTAGGATTCCTGATTTTCCTGGTTTTGCTGATATTTGGGTTCCAGATTTGGACACTGACTGTTCCTTGGGGTGGGAAAGCAGCTGTGGCACAGTCCAGGTGGCATTTTGGCCACACAAATCATAGTCCTGACCAAACTGAGGGGCAAATTCAGCAGCTCTGGTGCTGCCAGGTGGCATTTCAGCCACACAAAGTGTGGTCCTGACCAAACTGAGGGACAAATTCAGCAGCTTTGGTGCCGCCAGGTGGCAATTCAGCCACACAAAGCGTGGTCCTGACCAAACTGAGGGGCAAATCAGCAGCTCTGGTGCTGCCAGGTGGCATTTCAGCCACACAAAGTGTGGTCCTGACCAAACTGAGGGACAAATCCACCAGCTCTGGTGCTGCCAGGTGACATTTTGGCCACACAAAGCAGGGTCCTGACCAAACTGAGTGACAAATCAGCAGCTCTGGTGCTGCCAGGTGGCATTTTGGCCACACAAATCATAGTCCTGACCAAACTGAGGGAAAAATCCAGCAGCTCTGGTGCTGCCAGGTGGCATTTTGGCCACTCAGAGTGTGGTCCTGACCAAACTGAGGGACAAATTCAGCAGCTCTGGTGCTGCCAGGTGGCATTTTGGCCACACAAAGCATGGTCCTGACCAAACTGAGGGACAAATCCAGCAGCTCTGGTGCTGGCAGGTGGCATTTTGGCCACACAAAGTGTGGTCCTGACCAAACTGAGTGACAAATCAGCAGCTCTGGTGCTGCCAGGTGGCATTTCAGCCACACAAAGTGTGGTCCTGACCAAACTGAGGGACAAATCAGCAGCTCTGGTGCTGCCAGGTGGCATTTTGGCCACACAAAGCAGGGTCCTGACCAAACTGAGGGACAAATTCAGCAGCTTTGGTGCTGCCAGGTGGCAATTCAGCCACACAAAGTGTGGTTCTGACCAAACTGAGGGACAAATCCAGCAGCTCTGGTGCTGCCATGTGGCAATTCAGCCACACAAAGCGTGGTCCTGACCAAACTGAGGGACAAATTCAGCAGCTCTGGTGCTGCCAGGTGGCATTTTGGCCACATAAAGCAAGGTCCTGACCAAACTGAGGGACAAATCCAGCAGCTCTGGTGCTGCCACGTGGCATTTTGACACCACAAAGCAGGGTCCTGACCAAACTGAGGGACAAATCAGCAGCTCTGGTGCTGCCACGTGGCATTTTGGCCACACAAAGCAGGGTCCTGACCAAACTGAGGGACAAATTCAGCAGCTTTGGTGCTGCCAGGTGGCATTTTGGCCACACAAAGCATGGTCCTGACCAAACTGAGGGACAAATTCAGCAGCTCTGGTGCTGCCAGGTGGCATTTCGGCCACACAAAGCAGGGTCCTGACCAAACTGAGGGACAAATTAGCAGCTCTGGTGCTGCCAGGTGGCATTTTGGCCACACAAATCATAGTCCTGACCAAACTGAGGGACAAATCAGCAGCTCTGGTGCTGCCAGTGCATTTCAGCCACACAAAGTGTGGTCCTGACCAAACTGAGCAACAAATCCAGCAGCTTTGGTGCTGCCAGGTGGCATTTTGGCCACACAAAGCAGGGTCCTGACCAAACTGAGGGACAAATCCACCAGCTCTGTCATCTCAGCTCTTCTCCCAACCTTTGA